TGCCTTAAAAGAACATGGTGGTCCCAAATTGAGTTCTGTAATTTTCCGAACATTGATGTTCCAACTGTAGCACTCTTATTATCACTACGGAGTATGAAATCAGCAGCTTATTTCTTCCTATCTGCTCTTAAGTCTCTGAGATTTAATGCTTTTAGTACAATTAAAGCGCTCTCTGTAGACTCTGTTTTACAGCATTCCGACATTGGTCTAAGCTTTTGCTCATATTTCCCTGAAAAATAAAAATAATAAACAGTTAAATAAGTGATTGTCTTTTTTTTTTTCCCCCAGGGATTCATATTATTTTTGTTGTTGTTGTTGTTTTTGCTTTTAGCCCTTTTTTTAACCCTTTGTTTGCTCTCGTTACATAAGAACTGGTCAACACATCGTGATGAGATTATTTTTGTTAGGAAAGCTTTTCTCATATTTTATATCTGCCAATACGTAGTTTATCGGTAAAGTTGGCGTTGTACAAGGTTTCACCGCTAATGGAGATGTTGTTGTCGAGTATCGTGACAGAAGATGGCGTTACAATCCAGCGGCGTTAACAAAGGTAAAGTAAAGTTAACCCATTCTAATTTTTAACATGATTGATAGCCACCAACTATGTTTAAAACTAAATCTAACCGATAAAACAGTTTGCCAGCCATTTGAAACTGATTTGGGCTGAAGGGGGGAGGTTTGCGTTCCCCTTCTCTTGTTGTTGTTGCTGTTGCTGATATTTTTTATTTCCACCACACGTCTTTCACCTAAAAGTGCAGGATGTTCACGAGTTGTTGGTTTTTGGCGAGGTTGCGCTCTCGGAAATTTCTGAATTTCCTCCTAGCCATTGATGGACAGACGCAATGCGCAAACAGCGCTTTATTTTACGATGCTTGTAGGTGAGAAAATAATCTTTACACGAACATTTTACAAACGCTGGTTCTGTCTATATTTTAACACAGATACAACAATTTAAGCGTGGTGATGAGGTCGCAGTCAAAAGTGACAAAAAGGTTGTTAAAAAACTCCAAGAGGGGCATGGTGGCTGGAACGAAGCAATGATTTCAGTACGTTC